GCCGTGCCATGCCAAGTCTGATTTACAAACGTTGCAGGTAACGCATGTCTTCGCCTGATTTAACAGAAAATGCTCCCAAACTTTAGAAGTTTTAACTTTTTTGGGTCTCGCTGCGTCTGCCATTTTCCTTTTCAAACACCTGCCGGCTCTCCCTGGCGCTGATCTGGCTTGCTCCGGTCCGGTCTGCAACGGCGGGCGGGCGGGGGGGAAGGGGGGGCGCGCTTGGGAAGAGTTGTGCGACGCAACGAATCGATGACGCCATTCGTTGCCAACGCTTTTAATAATCGATTTTCATCGATTTTATCGATTCGTTGTTGCAGCCCTAGTATAGATAAAAATATCCAGCAAGTAGTAGAACTTATAATACAGAAAGCCAACTATACAGATACAACTTGACATAAGGTTGCAGGTCAGATGATAATTATAGTTTTTTTTTTCAAAGTCTCTTACCTGTTCACTTCTAACTAGAAAACTGTTCAATTTTGCTTGGGAACTTTGTGCTCAGGTAAATGCTCATAACCTGTTTTCTCTGTAGATCACTGACCTTGACCATGCAGATCTCCTCAGCATCAACCACCTGGTCTCTCTCCTGTTCCTCACTCACTCTCTTAAAAAAATCTTTGTATATTCATCTAGACAACAAATTGAAAAACATTTTCAATTTCTAATGCCAAAACAAATGCTACTATGCCATTTAGTTTTCACTCACAATAATTGAAACAGCCATTAAAAAAATAAAATAAAATAAAAAAAGGGGGGGTGGTGATTATTTTAGGGGGGCTGAAGCCCATTTTTAAAGTCTTTGGTATGACCCAACCATGGATTTGAACCAACGATCTCCCAGTCTCAGGGCAGACACCCATACCACAAGGCCACTGAGCTAGTTTTTAGAAGATATGCAAACAAAATCCTCACATGAAACTGTTTCATTATAGCTCAGAGCAAGCAAATATTTTCTTTTTCTTCATCCCTTCCTTTTACATATGGTGGATAGATGTGTATGTGTCTAAACAAAGACTCCCAAAAGCAGGAATTATGCCATTTACAAAATGAACATCATAATGCATCTAATCCTAATGCCCCATAAAATTGTGAAAGTTCCATTAAACTTCATAATAAACAGAGTGGAGCTTGAAACATAAAGCGGAGGTGGATGACTGTGACCCTCCTTTTGGTTAGACTTCTACAAGCAGACAGCTGGATGGATCGAGTGAAGCGGAGAAAGGAGAGCGAAGGGGGAAGGAAAAGCAAGGAGAGGCGGAAAACTTGGTTGGTATTCAGAGAATTGCTCCAACTTTTCATCTGCCCTCGGGCCGAGTAGAGGCTCAAGGGAATAACAAGCATCTCCTTCAACCCCTTTCTCAGTTCCTGGGATACAGAGAAGTAAAACCCTTAAAAAACAGTGTGACGGTTATTTCTTTGTATGTGAGTGTCTGCTGCTCGGCAACGGCAGTCTACATGCATAATGATTTCCACTAACCTTCACACTTTTGAAGGATGGTGGAGAAGATTAACCATGCATCTAGTATGAGTCAAAAGCCATCTTTTAAAAGATTCTTATGGTTTCTGCATTTTTGAGATTACTGGTGCTACTTTATGCATAAAATCAATTCATTCTTTTGTGATAAGTGTGAACTAGCCTGTCTGGACTAGGTTTCCCCAGAGAAACCCAAGGACCATCCTAAAGACTTGGTTGGTTTTTAATGGAGTCACATTTTGGTCTCCTAACAGAATATCTGTAACGAAAGTAATTTATTTGTTGAAATAAATGACTGTAAATTCCTTTCAGTTACTTTATGCTTACATAGGATGTCTGTGTCCCTTACAGTATGCTGCATAGTTCTAGAACTCAAGTTCTTCATTTTTATTTGTGGTTTTAAGTGGCCGAAGTTAAGAATAACAGCTTACTGCCTATGTGTATACACATGTACCTTTGTTATTATTTTTCTTCAAATCAATCTCTTAACTCATTCACTGCTATTGACGACAAGAGTCGTCATTTTAAATCCAATCGTTCTCTGCCAATGACGACTAAAGTTGTTATTTGCATTTTTTTTACTGTGTGGGTGCTGGAACGAGCCCCCACACCGTGAGAACAAACATCCCAGCTCTAAAGCCAATCTTCATCTGCATATGTCACAGATCATGTGATCAGGAAGCAGAAAATCTACGTGTTAGGAGATCGTTTTGGGCCACCGCTGTAAAAAAAAAAAGAAAAGTGAGGCGCGAACCGGAAAAGCTTCTGCTGATCACAATTCGACAAAGGATTATGAAATGGATAAAGCTCGAAACAGGCGGATTTTTCCTGATGTAAGAGGTGAGTCTACTTTTTGTTTTGTTAGTTTTGGCGTTGACATCATCCTAGAGCTCAACATTCTGTCACTCTTAAAAAAACCTGTGAAAACACTGAAAAACGCTGGCAGTGATGGGCTTTCCTTATCAGGAAACGCTGGCAGTGAACGAGTTAAGTGTTGGTGTTGCTGTAACAAGTGAAGTTCCCCACTGTGGGATCAATAAAGTCTATTCTATTCAATTCTATATGGATTTCATTGCATCATGCTGCAGCTCAACCTAACTGAAATCACTGCTCACTGATCCTTGCACACACTTTGGATAGTGGATTGGGCACCTCTTGAATTTAATACATTGTTGCTGTAGGGATGGTACAATGAGCACAAAGGGAGAGTCTGAAATCAGGAATAAATCTCAAAAGGTACACCTATCGAAGAGAAAGTTTAATATATGTTCTTTTCATAATATGATTGGTCACTCTGAGTTGCATATGCATACTAAATATAGAAAACATATTCAACCCCTATCCCTGCATTAGCTGCTGAAACATAATAGACACAGTTTTACTTAACACCGTAAGCTATCGTGGACACACCCATCTTGGCTTGCTACTGCAGAAGGCTGTGCTGGTTTTCGTAGCTAGGGGAGAGCAGAGCGAGTCTCAGCTAGAAGCAGCTAACCGTTAGCATTAGCAACTCTGCAACAAGGTGGAACACCTTCAGGCTTGTGTTACTTGGCGGTAACACATCAATGCTGCATTCTTTATTCAAGAAAGAAGAGCTGTAGGAGCTAAAATCAGTGTTCTGTGTGTACGTGCAATCTGACATCCTGTTGTTCAGTCCAACTTATGTAACCTCCAGTAAGTCTTAACTTCTTTGACCATATTGGGAAGTGAAAAACAGCACACCATCATCTCCCGAAATCAAAGGAATGTGGGAGGAAGCGCCAGGAACACCAGTATAACTGATGCTGCGTGTTGAGGGAGAGAAGGGCTTTGCAGAAGGATTCCAGCCGAGGCATTTAGTACCAGGCTGCAGGCTGTCCCATGAGCTGTTGGTGATGTATGGATGAGTTGTGTAAATAAATGCCCCACGCTGTGTTTTGGACAAGCTGTCAGTCTCTTGTGTTTTGATAAGGCAAAAGAACCACAGAGCGAATAGAGGCAGCGGAAGTGTCGCATTGCTGTTAGGCAAACAGAGGCATACCGTGAATATTACTGAGTAGTTCTGGATGACTTATTATGGAACTTCTCCTGATGTGATGCAGTGTTGTTATTGCTCTATACTATCTTTAAAGACAAGGGGCCTCATGTATCACCCGTACTTACGAACAGATCTGTGCTTATATCGTGCATAGGAACTAATTTACACACTGTGTGGTATTCATCATTTTGTATGTCTGCGTGGATACTAAACATAAGAAAATTTCAGACCATGCGTAGGAACAGCATTTAGTGGTAGAACGAGGGAACCGCAACATCCCAAGATCTCAGTCGTCCTCAGATGTTCGTCATCCACAAATTATTTTATCTAATAAATAATTATTTCAGCGGAAAAACAGCCGAGTCACATAAATGGTGCTAAAACATCCGATGGGAATCAGACATTACAGAATAGATTTCATGTTTTTTGTAATCACAATTGTTACTCTTCCCATTTTAACGATGTTCTTAATCGTTTTAATTAATTAATATTATTTGTGATTAAATTTAATTATATTATATTGTTGTCCTTGTGAAGCGCATTGTAATTTAGCTTGAGATGCGCTAGATAAAAGATTGTTTGTTTATTATTATTATTATATTATTATTATTATTATTATTATTATTATTATTATTATTATTATTATTATTATTACTAAGGATTTGTCAGAGCGTGCTCTCTGGAGTTTCCGCCTTCAGATTGTGGTCTCCGCACCGAGGTCATCAAGTTGGAGGCACTCGCTGTGCTCTGTGCTTTCCCGTGACCTCCCTCCCACCTGTGGATTCAGTTGGCCGAGCGCCACACAGGCTGCTTCTGCTAAGGAAACCAGGGTCCCAGCCCCTCCCCCCTACCTACCGGGTCTCACGTTGTGAACTGTGACGTTCGTGCTTATATGTAGAGGTGTTTTTTTGCATAGTAGAGCTACACCCTGCCAGTGTAGCTCTGTTAAGCCTTTTTTTCCCTCCCCGAACTCTCCTCATGTAATCCCCTCTTCATCTACTGAAATGAGCGCCGTCATGGCTGCTCTCGCGGTCTGCCTGTATCTTTCCTGTCTATATGTGTGTGTAATCTTGGTCAGGCGGTACTGTGGAGTCAAGTTCCTATGCTCTGGATCGCTGGAGCGCTGGCAATAAAATTCTTTCTGATTCTGATTCTGATTATTACTAAGGATTTGTCAGAGCGTGCTCTCTGGAGTTTCCGTAAGCACACTGACAGGAGAGGATTTGGGACTCGTTGTGGAGCAACAGATAAACTTGATCTTCAAGACAAAACACATTTTTTGCATATTCCTGAAAACTATTTTTGTTTGTTTAGCGTAGATGTGGTAAAGAACAGCTTGAACAATTAGACAAACTTGAGCAATCACTGATACTTAAAAAATGAAAAATGTAATGGGTGGGAGGTTGTTGTTTCCTCTGAGGGTTGAAATCATGATTTTGCAAGTATTGCAATGTATGCCCTGTAAAGAGTGTTATACTATTAATTTGCCATAGTCATGGACAGTACCTGTACACTGCCTGCTGCAGAATAGGCTGCATAGGAGAACTGCTGCTTCTTCACATCCCTGGGTTTTCTCTGATCACACTGGAAGCCACTGGCCAGGAAGCACTGGTGACTAGCTTTGTCAGTGATGGTGTTGGGTTTGGAACCAGGAAGGCTGAGCAGAACTGTATGATTGGATATACGGACATCAGTCAGCCCAAGTCCTACCCACTGCCTATACAGATACCTGGCTCTGGATTCTTCACTTTCGTCTGACTGGCTGGAAAACGACCTGCAAACAACAAGCGGAAAAAACAGAAACAATATTTATAAAGAGACTTGACTTACAATGGTTAATTATTAGTATTTTTTTGTTGTAATCAGTAGAAATTTAGTCTAGTTGACAGCATTGCACATCACTGCAGTTAATTACAACTGCTTATTAATCACGTAACTCATGTGTAGCTAAACAAGTGGGGTTTTAATATTTATGTATTAACATATTACAATTGGAATTTTAAAATTGAATTAATATTGTCTAGGATCTGTCATCTTGTTCTGCTACTATAATTAAGTAGTCACACGCACGCTTGTCTTCCTGGGGCTGGAGGCTAGGAGGGAGATCCAGCTGTCCGATTGGGGTCTGGGGTGGTGGGTTGCTGTGCTCAGCGTCGGGCGGGGGATCCTGCTCATCAGCACCCCAGCAGAAAGGGTCAAACTCTGGTAACCGGTGATGGTTGTACCCCATGTGCAGAAGTACCGGGACCAGAGTGAATAGGGTGTGTATGGGGAGCATGAGTGGGTGTCCGGCGTGCATTTTTGTAAGTCTTTGGTTGTATGTGCATGTGTGAGCATGAGGGAGGGAGTGTGTGACTGTGTTTGTGTATGACTGTATATGTCAGGAGGGCCTTTGACTCCTCCCTTCTCCTGGGACTTCTTGTGATGATATAGACCTTCGTCTCCCCTCCCCCTGCCACACCTGGTGTGGGGTGTGGTGCCTTGGTCTGCCTGGGTCGTGGCTCCCGAGTCAGGGAGTTTAAGATTTTTGGCGTCTGACTGACCAATCCCGGTGGCTGCCTGGTGAGGTCTGGGTCCCTGGGCTCTGCTGGGTCCCCGGCGGGGGTGTTCACCCCTGGGTGCCGGGCTCGGCCGGCTAGGGGGTGGGAGGCTGCGGGCGGGCCTGTGGGCTTGCCGCCGATATCTCCCGGGACTCTGCCGGCTGCTGGTTGTGGCCCCCGGGGCGATCCTCTGCGCCTCTCGAGGGGGGCGGGGTCTTTTCTGGTCGCAGTCTCCCTGGGGTTCCTGTGCTCTGGGGCAGCTCCCGGATCTCTGGGACTTGGAGCACCCTCCGTCTCCTGCACATCTTTAGGGGGCATATCTGTGGCCCCTCACACACTCTATTGGACGCTCCTATAGATAAACCTTACATAAACAAGCGCGTGTACACACACAGGTGCTCACATGGTGCTCTCAAAAGTATGGGCTTGGGCACGTCCAACGCAGGTCTTAAGGCTATGGTGAGAAACTTAGTGCACTGTGATTTATTATCGTGTGATTGTTCAGTTAAACAATGTTGACACAGTGATTGCTTGATCTTGTTGTATTGTTGTGTCCCATTTTTTATTTCAGGTCTGTAAGCAGACTCTTGTTCATTATTATTTTTGTGGACCCCCCACCCACCCACACACACACACCTTTTGTCTCTTCCTTTCTCTTTCACCTCTGACTCTGTGTCTGGTCGGAATTAAAAGCATTCAAAAACAATAACAATAAAGTTTTAAGTATAAGGTGTGACACTAAAAGCAGAATCTTTGAGCTTCACCTGAGAGTAAATCTGTAAGGCTTGTTACCAGCATTCAGAAATCAATTCTGTTTGCTTCACAGCTGGACAGGACAAAAAAAACAACAAAAAAGTAGTCACTCACACACACACACACACACACACACACACACACACACACACACACACACACACACACACACACACACACACACACATACACACACACACACACACACACACACACACACACACACACACACACACACACACACACACACACACACACACACACACACACAGACGCACTGTATTCATGTAAAATCCCTATCTACACAGTGTTTTTATATTCATAATCACATTTACATGATTAAAAACACATAGTGTCGTACAACCAGTCTTGCAGACACAAATAACTGAAAACTGCATTCAAGACTTCAATGAGTCCCATTAATTCATTCCATATAACGTAGTCGTTGTTAAGCTCTTCTTATGAACTTCAGATATTCTTTAGGCCTTGGAGGGCAGCACAAGCCTGAATTGAGCAAAATGGGTTTTTGATCTTTTGTGGATGAAAATAACGATGCTTCACAATTTTCTGTTGATAGCTAGCATGAGGTTGTGTAACACACATTCATGTTCCATAGTTAAAAGGCATGACTGAAACACCTGTGGCAATCTGATGTTTCTAATCACAAAACCTATGTTAGAGTACATGCACGGAATGAAAATCAAGTGGCCCACACCACTTGTGTGATGCTTTCATCGATCATTTTGTATTAAAAAAAGCTGAAAGGTTTGGATGGAAAGTCTGTCTGGTTGCTTTGTTGGGAGGATTTTATGATGGTGTTCATTTTATTTTATTGATGGCATTTTAAAACGTAATTTAAGCATTTCTGAAGATAATATAAAATGGTGTTTGATATGATTTTATGACAACATTTAATAATGATGATTTATTGACATTAGACACTAATCTAATTGCTGATATTGCTCTTTTTTATTTCTTGTATGTGCACTGCTTAGGCCTAGTCCACACATAGCCGGGTTTTTTTTTAAAACAAATATCCGCCCCTCCAAAAACTTGCATCCACACCACCTCGTTTTAAAAACAAACTCTGTCCTCACGTACCCGGATAAATACGTCGTTAAGGACATGCCAGACCTGTAGGCGGCAGTACTTCCCCCGTTCTTAACCTCGTCCTTCGTCTGTGGTCTTCCGCAAGGAGCAGTAATTCCGCTTGCAAAAACAAACAAGCAAAAAGCGCTTGGACTATTGATGGACCGGGTAGTGACAGAGCTCAGCAGCTCTGAGGGCATCCATGCTGTCGGCTAGTGTAAACACAGGTCGCACACGTGATGTCAGCATTTTTTTTGTCGCGGAAAGTGACGTTGCGGACCTTAAAACTCCGGTTTTGTCTGTCCACACGCAGACACCCAAAACGTAGAAAACGCAGATCTTCACTTTGGCCGGAGTTTTTAAAAAGATCCGTTTTCGTGTGGATGACAGGCCAAAACGTAGAAAAATATCTACGTTTTGGCACCGGCTACGTGTGGACAAGGCCTCAGTGATCAGACGATGGCGGGATCAATCCCAGCTCCCTTCAGGGTACTCTGCTGTTGTGTCCTTGGGGAAGACACCTCATCCAACTTGCCTTAGTTGGTGATGGTCGGAGAGGCTGATGGCCTCGCCTCCATCAGACAGCCCTAGGGCAGCTCTGGCTAAGCAGTGTGTGAATGTGTGTGAAAAGTGCTTAAAAAACTAAAATACATTTGTTAAAATTATTATTATTATTATTATTATTATTATAATTATTATTGTTATTATTAAAGCTTACTGAGAGCGTGCTTCTTCGCATGCTGCCTCTAAGCTGTGGAACACTCTCCCTCTGCATGATAGACAAGCCCCTCCCCTCTAATTATTTTATCCTCACCTTCAATCATTGACTTTATTATGTTCACCAGTATGTCATGATTGCTGTTTTAGTGTATTTTCCTATACTTGTTTTATTAATCTCTTCAACTTATTTTTGTTGCTTGTTTTTATGCTGTTCAGCACTTTGGTCAGCTCTAATGCTGTTTTAAAATGTGCTTTTGGATTGCATTGCATTATTATTATTATTATTATTATTATTATTATTATTATTATTGTTATTATTATGTACTTTTATATAATGAGTCTAGACACCCTGCCTGTTTTGGCCAAAAACTCAACAGATGTTTTGAATCTTGAATAGGTTCATCCTGGATAAATAAACATCTGGGTCATGTTCTTGCATTTCTACCTTAGAGACAAAAAAAAAAGAAGCAACAATGTGAATACTCGGAAGTGTGCTAGATGTTTAAAACATGCTTTCTTTTTTTTCCTCCTCAAGCAATCTGAAAACCTTTGAGAATTTTCAATATCCGTTATTCTCGTTTTCCTAATTGCAGAAAAGAAATGCCAATAAAAATTGATCTGAGCCTTATTTGATTCTCGCCCTGTTTGTTTGGTTCTTGATGTTTACTCTCTTTATTGTTTTGAGTCTGAGAGGGCTTGACTCAAAGGTTCACTTATAAAGACGAGTAGAAATTGGATTGGCTGGCATTTCATCCTTCTGGTGAAAAACTCAGGGCTATACAATAAGTGGGTGTGAAAATAAAATACGTCTCAAAATCACTGCAAAGGTTGGGGAAACAGCTGGATATGCAAGAAACACAGAAAGAGTTTTTAAAATGTTTTAGATAGTCTTTAAACCACGTTTGGGTTTAAATAAATATTATATTCTCTGTTTTAACGTTTAGATTTTTTGTGTAGTGGTGCGGCAGAATTAAGGGCCAAAACAGAAATACATGAAAGTTAAATGAAAACTTTACACCAGAATTATAAAACACAAAAGGCTGACTCAGCATAAAAAAATCAAATTACAGTGCACAAACAAAAAGTTAGGAAGTCAAAGAAAGCTACAAGTATAATTTTTACTTGTGTGTGTGTGTGTGCGCGCGCGTGTGTGTGTGTGTGTGTGTGTGTGTGTGTGTGTGTGTGTGTGTGTGTGTGCGTGTGCGTGTGCATGTGCTTGCATGTCTGTTAATGTTTTTAACCCATTATGGGAATCTGGGGTCATTTCGTAAAGCACTTTGTTCGAAAAGCGCTTTATAAATAAATCTGATTGATTGATTATTGATTCACAACAGGGAGAACCCGAGAAGAAATGGTTATAAGCCTGGTTGGTTGGTGTCCCCCTGTCTACTTGGTGGTGATGAACAGGGGTGGAGCAAGGGCGCTGCATCTGCATATTTCTGAATTATCCATGTTCTCCAGCCATTAGGAGGATTTAGGAGTGAGAACAGCTTTTTGTATTTGTAACACAGACAAATACAGTAACAATCAAGTAGCAAAACCTGTGTTCATGAAAAATGACAGATGATTGTAAACTTCAGACACTGTGCTGGTTTCCTGTCCAGGGTCTGCCCTACTCTTGTGCATCACTGAAGTTTGACACAAGCTGAAAAACATGAAAGAATGAATGAAT